GACTTCACGTTCCACTTTCTTGTATTCTCGCTTTGAGGAGTACGCTGTGGAACCTCCGAAAATGTGTGAAACGTGGAGGTTAGAGTCTGGATATGCTGTGTCCGATTCCTGAGGAGCCACCTCCGCATCCTTCTCGACCACGCGTACTCGCTTGCCTTTTTCAAATGCCATGTGCTTCTCGAGCGACTTTTTGAAAACAAGGCAATCTTCCAAAGAATGTCTGTCTATCTTGTGTATGGGGCACCATGCTTTCTTCGTGTCGCTACCTTGTGGGTCTGGGCGCTTGGGAGGGTTCGCGTATTCTGCTGCGAGAACTTCCGCTTGAGCTTTCATTTTCCCACTTTTGCGATTTTTCTTCTTGCTTGACTCAGGTGCGTCCGTGGCTGGTTTCTTCTCTCCCCCGGTCTTCGGCTTATCGTTCTTGCGTCTCAGTGCATCATCTGCGTGGGCGCATCGCTCAACAATCTCGAACAATCTCCGAGTAGTTGTGATGCGTCTTGTCACCAACTCCTGGGTAGTATAGCGATCTCTGACACCAGACTTGAAGGCGCAAATTACAGAAGCATCGGTGATTTCGGGGATTGTATTTCTGCACTCGTTGAAGCGCCGAACATATTCCCTCAAGGATTCACCCGAGTTCTGTGTCAACGCATGTAGGTCGTCTTCGATCGCGTGGCGCTTGTAAGTTCCTTGGAAGTTGGCAATGAACTGCTGGCACAGGTCTGCACACGAAGAGATCGAGTAGGGCGGGAGATGCATCAGCCATGAACGTGCAGAGCCTTTTAACGCAGTTGGTAAATAATTCGCCAATGCATTGTCGTCTGCTCTGGCGGCGTAGAGTACTGTGGAGTAGACTTGAAGGAACTCTTCTGGGTCGGTGCTCCCATCGTACTTCTCTATTGCTCCGGGTCGGAATCTCTCAGGCCATTGGACATCACGCAGGGAACGACTGAAAGCTCTACACCCAGCGCTGGGGGCGGTGGGTTGTCGGCGATCGTGTGTCCTTCATGGATGTCTGTCTGATGATGAGGATGAAGAAGAAGACGACGATGACGATGGATCGCTTGGTTCCGGTGTAGGATTACGAGGACGTCGGCTAGGTTCTCGAGAATCCTTTCGCCGCCCTCGGTTGTTGTCCCGGCGTCGATCTCCGTCGTCCTCGTCATTATGGCGGTGTCCTTGACCAGTGTCACCCTGCGTCCGCCTCTCGCAATCATCGTGATCGTGGCGATCGTGGCGATTAACACGGTCTCGGTCTTCGCTCGAGCGGCCCTCCCGTCTTTCATTATCGCGATGTCGTGAAGAGACGCGATGCCGGGAGCGATCCCCGTTGTCTCGTGTGCGTCGTGCCTCTCAGCGGCCATTGAGGTGGTCACGGAGATCGCCGGTGCCGCGAGGTGGAGGGGTAGCTCGATGGGGTGACTCCCACTATTCGGGATTTTCGCCATTGGCACCGCCAGTTGGTGGCTATTCCGGGTGTGCTGCATCAGCGGCTTCTTCGAACGCGTTGCTGAGGTTGGTTACTGATTCCCGTAGCTGTTCTGTCCACTGTGCGAGATCATCGTTTAGAACGGGATCGTAAGGGGTCTCCCTCAGTATTGCGTTGATGGTCCTGATGTGCTAGGCCGGTGTAGCCACTTGATTTTGTGCTTCCGCATTAGCGTGTGCTGACGTGCTGGTCCCGTCGATAGCTAATACCTCGCGCGGCGTACTCGCTTTGATGAGCCATAGTCCTCGAGTAGATGCAGGACTGATGGTTCGGGTGAACTGATGTCGATTATGCCAACGAATCGATCTGAAACCAGCGTCGTTCCTTGTTCCTTGTCTTCATCTCTAAGGGATATGCCTAACTGCTGGACCTTAGGGGATGACGTCATCGTGGCGCTGAGAAAGACCTTGCAGCTTGAGAGGTCGTGATTCTTTGTCTTGTGAATAGGACAATAGACATCACAGGTTGGAGAAATACGCTGAATTCCACGCTCTTTGCAGGCGCGAATTTCGGCGCGGACGTTGAGAAAAACCCAACAGGCGTGCAAAGTGTGTTTCCTGGTTTTGTGGATAGGACACCAGGACCTTGTCGCTTCGGAAGTTATTCTCGTCGGCTCGTGGCTCTTGTCTGAACGACAAGGTTTGGCCGCATTAGAATCCTTCTCGAGCTCGGATGTCGTCAATGTTCTGTTCTCCGCTTCGGCGGGAGGATCCTTCGACAGGGAGTCGTCCTGGGTTGTATCCACTGCGTTCTCATTTCCGGTCATTGATGGACCAGCTGAGATCGGCATCGTGGTATAAACCGGGAAGACGATTTCGCCGACTTGAGTCCACACCAGCATTGTTGAAGTAGGAAATCCCTGGTGGAGGTTGGTGTTGACGCCGTTGTCAACGAAACTGGATGACATAGTAGTAGAACCTTGAGCACCAAGTCCCCCTACCTGGCGCGCCACTGTCGACGAGTGATACCCGTAGACCGGATATAGAGGGTATTGGGGTACGTTGGTACAAGGATCTATGTAATACGACATCAAGCAAACAGAGAACGAGGATTATACTGGTTCAGGCCCCTTGATAGGTAATAGCCCTAATCCAGTTGATATGAGATTATATGATGGAAAACACAGGTTACAAAGGGTACGATGGAACTCGATGAAACCGACGGGATCGTAATCGAGTTGGTTCGACTAGATCTCCCGGCGATTTGGCTCCTGCAGGCTCCGACTTCGTAGGCTGTGGGGGTTGTGTTGGCTCCGAGATTCGATGCCTTAGGTCCTCCAGGGGGTCCCTTTTATATCGCAGGTCAGGTGGTTTCCAAGTAGAACTCGGAGACATCGAAACCTACACGATACATTGACGACCCAGTCTTGTCCGAGTAGGATTCTTTTCATCTGTAAACTCCGTGAAGGATTTCCTTAGTTATGCGGAGAATGTCCATATACGCGCAGACATGCCATATCGATATGTGACGTATATCGAAAGGTAAAGGGTATACCTAACCCGTAACCCTGACAACATACATGAAATATTAAATATATGCTAAAATAATAACTAATTGCACAGATTGCGACTAATTTGCGAGATGAATCTTTTTATCCTAATTACTACATTATTTGACAATGTGGTGCTACAGTAAACATTTGCTAATAACGGATTTATTAGGCTTAATAAATTCGTCTCACACCCTATATAATACTCAATGTGACACGCCAAAACTTTACACCCCTGGATCTAAACACCCCCTCAAATTTGAACAATGTAAGAGTAGTACTCCTTCCCAAAATATAAGAATTTAGAACTGGATCGGACATTTTCTAATACTACGAATTTGGACAGCACGTCCCATCCAGTTCTAGGTTTTTATATTTTGGGACGGAGGGAGTACATGGCATGAAGCATGATGCGTGTGAAATGGAAGAAAAAGGATTTGGTAGCAATTGCTTTCAGAAAGAATTGTTGCACAGAGTTGATCTTGCACATGGTAAGTCAATCTTTGCACGGACGTTGCTTCTATGGAAGAACCTTGTGTGTACTTCTTACTTGGAGAAAACAACTTCTTCAAACCAATCCTGACTTGTACGTAGTTCTTCAAACCTTACAACGTGCAGGTCCATTCGATTAGGGATGAGCTAAGAGGTTAGGCATATGATGTGAAAAAAAATCGGATGTACACATTGCGCGCGCAGTAGAAGGAGGGGATGGAAAAAAGACGATTGCACTTTTACAACAGTAGAGACTAGAGAAAATACGAAGTATCACTTAAACACTTTCAAGACATGTGAAATCATTCTATTGTCCTCTTCTAGCTTCAATTCATGTTTTCAAAAAAACTTTTAGTCAGGTCGCCTTGTCCAATTGTTTTCGGTACAAGAAATGACGACATATTTATGTGCAAACCACATATACAATTCAGACGAACACAGGGATGATTCATCTTTTGTTCTCTTCCCCAACGACTTCACATGAATCATATGCCTTTGTACCAGCTATATATGACTTGCTTTTTATATTGAGAATAAGCATTATTCTCATATCTCCTTTTCCTTTTCTTTTTCAGGTTTGTCCTCGTACAATTGTAATGTCCAAAGGACTGGAAAAGTGCAGTAACAGAAAGGTGCTTCACAAACTGAAAAGTTGAAAGCCATGTCACTGCACTACGTCTGACAAAAGAACAACAGCTATAGGTATTTGGCATTTTTATTGGCTACTCTATAAAAAAAGCACATTAATATTTGTGTCAAAGAATTTAATTTCTACACAAGATTTATAGGCAGAGGGCATGTAGCTCCACATAATGGAGCTCAGATGATCAAATACATAATTACATAGTCCTTACTACATGGAGTCTAAAGAAATATATATATATCCAAGTAGTGCAGCATCATGCACGGCCACTACTTATTAGAAATAAAATGAAGTGAATAAAGATATGCTTCTGATGATGCCACCGGCGTGAACCGAGCAATCTTTCATGCAGATTTTCGCCTCCACCTACTCCCACGCACGCACGCAATGAGCAATAGTTGGTTGCTGACTTGATCCGAGCTTTGACAAATTCAGTTTGGAACTTTGGATGAATCTGCAATTCTGACGACAAAAGGGAAGGGAAGGACAAAAAGGTTTTACTTTAATCTTCTTTCACTCAATGTCTAAAGTGATTTTCAGAGACATACAATGGGCTTTATATCTTTCTTTTACTCAACATCTAAAATGATATTCAGAGACAACACAATGGGCGAAGACCTGTATTTATCTCTGCTCTGAAAGACTGAAACAGTCTCTGCTCCAGCTACGAAGACTGTATACTTGCTGGTCATACAGATCCAGGATGTGTATTATTTGCAAATTCATCAGAAAGCATGACTCAACCATCACACACACTCACACGTACCATCTGTCATCTCTTTCGATGATATCATTCAACAGGGTGACAAACTGAAAACAAAGAATTGCAAGAAAGATTGGAATGAACACAACAGGATGACCCAGGTATGATGATGATTACAGAAAACTTTCAGGAAGATAAGCGAGCCAAACATAGAAATTGGGAGATAAAACATTGTTGCATGATTCACAGGTTCTCAAAATGATTAACGGCATACAAACAACACGAAGATCTAGAGCTTCAAATACTACTTCATTGTAGAATGGAAAAAAGAACAGTACTCGCCCTGGACCTGAGTTGAGGATAGAAATTGTTACAATCGAGGATAGAACAGTACTCGCCCTGCACCTAAATTGTTACATGCTTGTCGGAGGATGCCTGGTACATGCATCTACGATTTTGACGAGAAGAAATGATATTTAGACATAGTACTATATCATCGTAATTGATGTCCTTGTTGCCTGCTCCAGTTCTTCAAACTCAGCGCCTAGCGCTTCGCTTCCTGCTCTTCTTTCGGCTGCCCTTGTCATCAGAATCACTGTCAGATGCAGATGCAGATTCGGAGTCAGATTCAGACGATGCTGATGATGAGGTTTCCCTTCTGTGCCTCCTCTTCTGCTGCTTCCTTTTGGGTCGCCGCTTCTTGTCCTCCGAGTCTGAGGAGCTGTAGCTTGAGCTACTTCCAGAAGAATATTCAGAGCCGGTAACTGATGATTCACTGTCAGAGTCAAATACAGAAGCCTCACTACTATCTGAATCACTCCGTGAACGGTATTTTCTCTTGCTTTTCCGTTTGCTTTTCTCAGACTTCTCCTTCTTCAACTTTGCTTTCATCAGCTTCCTTTCCTCTTCCTTTTCCTTCTCAAGATCAGGATTCTGGAACTGATAGGAAACAGGAGCAGCCGTCTTCTTCAGCTTGGGGTTCTTGAGCTGCTGTGTCCTCGAGGGCCGCGAAATGTAGACCCGTTCGTTCTTGCACTCGTATGTCCAGTGCCCAGGCTGAAAACACTTCTGGCACTGGGTATATGCGCCACCAGAAGAAGAAGAAGTTTGCGCAGCTTTTGGTTTCACTCCCAGTATCACAGCCTTCTCTGTACTCATCAGATACATCTGTCTCTTGGCCTCCTTCCTCTCCTGCCAGCGCGAAGGTCCCTCTTCTTTCTGCCCATAAGCATTGACATTGCGGGCAGCGGCTGCAGCAGCTCGCTCGGCTTGAGTTCTGCTCAATCCCTTGGCAGCAGATAAGGCCTGTGCTTTTATTCTCTCAGCTGCAGCCTGAGACTTATCGTCATTTCCAGACATCTTGGGCTCACCCAACAAGAATCAAATCATACAAAATCAGCAATATTATGATCCTGTAAGGAAACCAAAATACATCAATAGAGTAATTTGGGTAATGAAAAATAACGCAAACAATAAATAAGCTTTCTGCTATACCAAAATCAACACATTGATGCAGGAAAAAAAATCTGGCACATAATATTTTTCGTTGCTATAAGAACAACATCTACTTATCAATTTGTCATACGCTCGGTCTGTGCCTCTGTGGTCAATCATTGCTACGCCCAAAAATAAAAAAATGGACAAACCCTTAGAGCTAAGAGATTCTACAGTAAACCGTGGTAAGAAAGAAATTGCGAGCTACAACCCAAAAGCAAGCAAATAAATCCAACGAATACACCTCCCCAGGCCGGGCGGATCTTAACGTGGGGGCATGGGGATTCACTCGAACCCCCCCCCCCCCCCAAAACTTTATTCCGTAACAAACTGCTGCTATTAGTGCTAGGGTTAGGGCAAATTAAGAGAAAAGCTTCCAGATCTAGGAGAAGAGAAGCTAGGGTTTAGGCGAAGACAGATGGTGCGGGGGTAGGAAGGTGCGTGTGGGTTGGTGCTCACCGGCGGCGAGGATGCTTGCGGCGGAAGGAGGCAGCAGGTCCGCCTCGGCTGCTCGCCGAGTTCGATGGAGATCGGCGCAGGCGAGGCGGCGGGCGAACTCACGAGGAAAAGAGAGAGAGAGAGAGAGAGAGAGGAGCGGGTCAGAATCGGGAGAGGTGAACGGGTCGGGATGTGGGGGCGAGCGATGATACGTGGGCCGTTAATGGGCCGATCACTATGTCGGTCAGTGATGGGCTGATCTTTATGTGGGCCGGTGATGGGCCCATGAAGTAAATAATGATTTGTACTGATCCTAACAGGGTAAATTTACGGTGATATTAGACAACCATGCAAAGTTTTATTGTGAGATATAAAACGAAGAAAATTAGAAAAAAGAAAAAACAGAAACAATGTTTTTATTTTAAGATTCTTTAATTTTATTATGCATAAACGGAGTTGAGGTTGTTTATTTACATCCTACCTACATGCTCTGTGTGATTCTTTCAGAACTTCTATATAAAAAAATTTCCACAAGTTCCTGATTTTTGAACATGCGTGCAAATTAGAGTATAATAAAATTATTATTTCTTGATATCATATGATATAGAAGTACCCCGCAAAAAAAAATGATATAGAAGTATATTTATTTGAGATCCATTGCCATAAATGGTCCCAATACGGAACCCATTTCTGTTTCTCAGAAGCATGAGCCCCTGACACAACCTAGCAGAAAACACATACAACCATCTCAGTTTTGTCAAGATTTTGGAGGTCTATTACCTGCAGCGAGACTGAATTCTACCCGGGAAACTACTTTTTTTTTATTTTATGAAACACGCGAAACTACTATAACCATAAAACTGACAGCTTTTCAAAGGCCATGTTACAGTTTCTCCACACTGAAAAAAACAGTAAAGTTACACCAACTTCAAATTGCAACCTGAACTATGAATATTGCTGCCAAATGGAGTAATATATACAGCAAAGGAAAGTAGGAGCATGAATGGAAAAGGAAAAAAAATGTGGCAAAGGTTCCAAAAAAAAAAACATCCTGACTACACAACACACAACCCATTATGATCATGACTGAATGTATCTGATATCTGTGAATTCTAACTGTCGAATGCACAATAACACCTTGCACAGCCAAAGTAATTCCCAAGGTAATGAAATCCAGACTGAAACTCTTATTTGATGGTATATATCATCTCTAAAGCCGCTAAACCTGTAAAGCCAAATAGCTTGGCAACTCCTCAAAGTGCTTCCCTAGCACCCATTGGTCAGCGAGTCCTGCGGCTGTTGGCTGGTTTAGATGGAGAAGACGGTTTGTTCTTAGCGAAATCGACAAGATCCTTGAAAAGAGAATCTTCAGGTTTGGTCTGCCGTGATGCGGTCGGAACTGATGAACCTCTCTCATTCTCGGTATTCCTCTGATTAAGCGAAAGGCCTTCTGTTTGGCTCACCAGTCCATTGTACCCGGCACCGTTGTTACCACTAGGAAGGCCGTGCTGTTGCTCGAAGTACTGCTGTCTTTGGCCATACCTTGCTGGAGGTGGCGGTAAGGAACCTGGAGCTTGCGCTTCCCATGGAGCTTTTGGAAGATCTTCACCGGAGTCTCCATACTTGTTAGCATTTGAAGACGAAGAAAAACCAGGGATAGCTGTTGGGTTTATAAAATCATCATCAGGTAGACTCTCCTGCCTATTGACAGCAGGACGATTTGACTCGCTCATAGGACGAGAAGGCATAGAGAAGCTGGGTGCTGCAGTTGGGTTTATGAAGTCATCAGACACACTTTCTGACCGGCTATCATAACTTGGCGGCGGATTCGTTTCTGTTTTTGAATGAGACGGCGCAGGTATATTGGCTGGGGCAGTTGGATTAATAAAGTCATCTGATACTTTTTCTGTCTTGTAGGAGTCGCCACTAAGATAGTCAACACTGCTTGCCTCCGTGAAAACTGGCCTCTTTGATGATGGTGGCGGAGGAAGAAGTGGGCTTGGGTAAGGCCTTTCACTTTTTGGAGCAGAAGGTAGATTGCCCTGTGCTGCTGTGCCATCCCTTGCAGACCTACAGAACATATATTTGTACATCAGATGACAAAACTAAACAGACCGTGAATCTTGGTATCATAACATGATCCGCATCACCAAAACATTTTCTTAAGAGCAGTCAGCTGATGTTGCCACAACCATCCAAAGCTTAGAATAGCAATAGCATGTATGAGAAATAATTAGTAAAGGGTACTAATAGGGAAAACTAATATAGCTTGCCTGCGGGAAAGAACAGAGAACTCGTCTTCTGGCTCATCGTCTTCATGGTGCACATTAAGAAGTGGGGAAAATGAAACCCCAGTAGGCCTAGGAGGGGCTGTTCCTCGGTTTACATTAGCAGCAGCAGGAGCTGGGCCTGAACCGGGAGGCACTCCCTTTGCGATGTCATCATGACGCTGAAGAACACGCTGCAGTTCATCATTTAAACCGAGAGCTTGAAATAGAAGGCTCTCATCACTGCAGAGGATACAAGACAATATGTCACATGACAATGTGAAAAGGACATGGAACCAAAATTTCAGAGTAAAAGAATAGAACATACCCAGTATTGCTAACAAGGTCCATGACTCGACCTTGATAAGATCGGCACTGCCCAACAAGGTCAACAATGACCTCCTCCCTCACACCCTACAACATGAAGCGCAATTAGACAGAAATTTAGAGAAAAAGAGCATAGGTGGGTGGAATGGTGGATTCAATAGTTAAATACAGAGACGCATAGAGACATCACACTAGTGCAAGTTTGGTCATAATAAATTAAAATATTAGGGCACATTATTTTTAGCCAGATACCAGAGCAAGTTCTAGAAAATACAAAAGCTTAGAAATCCCTCTTTAATTATTCTTATGCCCTCAGTCTCCTATGCTGCTAAACATGATTCCCTCTGAACAAATGGACCAAGTAAAATAGTTCGCACATTCCTGTAAGCTGATGAGGTAACATGGATGAACAAAGATATAAATGGATATTGGATAATATACTAGACTTCAAAGCCTAGCAAGAAACTACTTTGTCATCCATTACACATAGATCTGATCAATGATGGGACATGTAATAGTTACATCCTCTTCTGTGCACAATTCACAGATACAGCTCAGCTCACTACATGTGAAATATGCTGTAGTATGATCATATGAAATAAAACACATGATTTATGCATAATTTTTTTCATGGGAAAAACAAAGGTCTAGAAGACATGACAATCATATTAAAGCTCTTAAAAGTAAAAGAAACTACAGAAGAGATACAAGGATTATACAACACTGCACTAAATTTTGATGCTTAAAAAAGTCACCTCAGGGTGCCTGTGGTCCAAAGCATTTAACATCTCATCCAACACATCCACAATTCCTCGAGCACTCTGAATCTCACTTAGACTGTAATGCACAAGGAGCAAGAATTAAAGGTGGATTATAACTAAAGAATTTCTTCTGCAAAGATGGTGAAATAAATTGATAAACACAATTGAAGTATTCAGGTATTGTTTAGCATGATTATGAAACTAAACTGTCACAAGGCAATAAGTAGAATCTATTTTGGCACACTGACACCGCCATATTTTGTTGTTAGAAATACCACTATAAGTATGAAATTCTTGGAAAGTTGCATGGCCCTAGTTCTATGAATGTCTTGCCTGTAAGGCTGTAACAGGGAGACAAACAAAATTACTATTAATGTAATGCATCATAATTACTTTCTAGTATGCTTTAGAGTTCAGGAATGAGGACAACCAAGGATAGCGGCAACTGCAACCATCAGTAGCGGAGGTTCCAACTTTAGATCAGAGATGGCGTACTTCAAGAAAGCAATTAATCACTGACCACTTTTTTCCCCCAAAATACTTGACACTCCATAGTTGCTAACAGGTATTTTTCCAATATCACACCTGGTGGGCCCAACCGGAGGTTCAGCTTTTTTTTTTTTTTTTTTGCCCCTCAAAACTACTAATGTGTTCTCAGTGACTAGGAAAAAACAAGAAAGATCTGGAGCCTGATAGCCTATATGCACCGTGAACCTTCTTTCCGTACTCTCCAGTTGTGCTGAGCGGCAAGTCCTCAGGGTTGGAGCCTTGGAGGCACACAAATCGTCCAGAAGCAACTTGGACACTGCTTTCTGCTGTCTGATGCACAATTTCAGCAGAATAGAGATACTTTAATCCAGGAGCATTTTCGAAATTTAACTAGGAAACATTTTATAGCCTTGGGAAGTTTGCTTGGCTAATGGGTGTCATCTATAGAGGAACAGAGGGAGCAGAACATATTGTGAGTACGATTCCACTCCTAAAACATGCCTAGCCATTTAATGTGGTTGTAGGCTGATCAGTATTTCTGATAGGAACATGTGTTTGAAACTTTTCCCCCACAAGTGTGAATTTACAAACCAGGCCATGCTTGTTCCAACCAAAGTAGGTTATTCTAAAGAGAATGGGAAAAATAGAACAAAGCAAGGCATAAAGAAACAGCAAAAGTAAATGGCATTAAGAAACTATGGATGAATATGACAGTACTGCTTGAAGTGAACAAGTAAATAAGGAACAAATTTTGCATTAGAACAAAAGAACACCTCAAGGCAGGTGCAGAAGGGGCGCTAGATTGAAGAGAAGCTTGTATCGCTGCATCTTCATAGCTTTGACCTGGAGGTGGATATAGATGTGGTTGCCTCAATGGTTGAGTTTGAGGAGGTGTAAACAGTGGAACCGTGTTCTCCTCACGAGGTGGAAAATCAACACCAGCATTCTGCACACAAGGGCAGGATATCTTGTTCATGGTTTGGACAGAAACAGAAGCAATTGAATATTAACTCAAAAGTAAAAACGTTGAAGATCTAAGTTTACATTGAAACAAAGTGCAGAACAGATTGAAGTTGAGTGGAACAGTAGTCAAGTATGAGCTGTGATAGCACAGGATAAATAACAGATGAGAAAACTGGAATGAACACAAGTAGACAGTACCCTGAGTTCTTGGTAAGCAGCGTGATACTGGGGATATCTGCCAGATGCACCTCCAAAAGCCACTTGCCATGTGTCAATCAAACTCAATATTTTCTCCCGAACATTTAAATCTGGCTGAAATCATAAATTGGCAATCAAATACAGAAGCATAAGAATGTAGGAACTATAGGAATAAGTCTTGGCTGGTTGGTCTTGGTCTTGTGGTGCCTTTTCCTGCTTTTCAGCTTTCTAGGACAGCATCTCTACTTTCAGTTTGGATGCTCTAGGACAGTTAGGACAGCAGTTTGTTGAGATGCTCTAGGACAATATGTTGAGATGCTCTAGGACAGTTTGTTGGGATGCTCTAGGACAGTATGTTGAGATGCTCTAGGACAGTTTGTTGGGATGCTCTAGGACAGCACCCTCTTAGACTAGCATGGCTGCATGGCTGCTACAAGCAGCTATAAATATGTATCCAATCCTCTTTGGGAGGATATGGCTTTTGAGTTTGTGAATGAAGAAAACCAGAAAATTGCCCCACTCCGAGTGCCATCCTCTTCTCAATGAGAGTAGCCATTGAAGTTCTAACATCTGGTATCAGAGCCACACTTTCCTGTAGGCTAAACATCTCTTGTTCCACCCCTTCCCAAGCTCGGTTGAGCTCTCAGCCACCACCAGCAGCAGCAACACCGGCTGCTCCTCCTTCCCCTTTCCCTTCCCCCTCTCCACGCAGCAGCCCCCCGGAGGTGCGCCATGTCCGACGTTCGGTCTCGGCGTTCGGTCGTCTCGAGCACTCGGCGTCAGCAGGACGCCGAGCTCGCCGCAGCAGAAGAGCGCAGGCGAGCAACGGCTCAGACCGCTGCAGCAGCAGCGAGGGCGGCCAGACTGGCGGCAGCAGAGTTGGCAGCAGCCAGGGCGGAGGCAGAAGCAGAGGCGGCGGAAGATGCGGCACGTGCGGCGGAGGTAGAGGTTGAGACCTTGCGCAGCAGCATCAACGGCTCCATCGCCGGCGACATCACCGCCGACAGGGAGCTTGAGGAGCTTGCAAGAGGTAGGGCACGGGAGCGGGCAGAGCGGTGGGCAGCAGCCCACCTCCACGGCGGCGGCGGCGGCCCAAGGGACCGCGCGCCCGCCGACGGGAACCCAGACGGGCGCGGGCGTGCCGGCGGCAGCCCGGAGCCCGCGCGCGGCCCTCGCAGGCAGCGTGGCTCTCCCTCCCCTGACCGGCACCATGGCCACCACGGCGTCCAGACGGTGGTCAGGGACTTTGGTCCCGGCGGTGGGTGGCCTACCCTCACCAAAACCAACTACATCGAGTGGGCCGCGGTGATGAGGGTGAGGCTCCAGGTGCGGCACATGTGGGAGGCAGTCCGGTACGGCGACGTCGACTACGACGAGGATCGGCGGGCACTGGATGCCCTCATCGCTGCAGTCCCGCCCGAGATGCAGTTCTCGCTTTCCCAGAAGCGGACTGCCAAGGAGGCCTGGGACGCCATCGCTGCGGCACGCATCGGCAGCGATCGCGCCCACAAGTCAACACTGCAGGCACTCCGCAAGGAGTGGGAGAACCTGGCCTTCAAGCCAGGTGAGGATGTTGATGACTTTGCCCTCCGTCTCCACACTCTTTTGCAGAAGATGGTGCAGTACGGCGACGACACCTACGACGAGGAGAGAGCTGTCGAGAAGCTCTTTCGCTGCGTCCCAGAGAAGTACAAGCAGATCGCTCGCTCGATTGAGTCTTTGCTGGACCTCTCCACGATGTCGATCGAGGAGGCGTTAGGTCGCCTAAAGGTCGTCGACGGCGATGAGCCACAGCCTCTCTCGGGGCCTATCACCATTGGCGGGAAGCTCCATCTCACTCGGGAGCAGTGGGAGGCCAGCCAGAGTAACGGGAGGAAGGGGGAGTCCCCTCCCTCGACAGGCGGCCGCAAGCCGCGCAAGGCGCGCGGAGGCGTCCAGCTGCGGTGGGCGCGAAGACGCGCCGAGGGTGGCGCTCGCAGAGGTGCCCAGGGCGACGCCGCTGGCAACCACAAGCCGGCACGAGACGACGCCTGCCGCAACTGTGGCAAGCTTGGCCATTGGGCCAAAGACTGTCGACAGCCACGACGCGGCCAGGCCCACGTCGCACAGGTGGAGGAAAAGCCGGCTCTGCTCCTAGCACACGCCAGCATCGAGCTATCTTCAGCGGCACCGGCCGCAACGGCTTTCCTCCACCTCGAGGAGCCGAAGGTACACGCCTTCCTCGGCAACAGCTCCAGCAACGACAAGGCTGATGGGTGGTACCTCGACACCGGCGCCACCCATCATATGACTGGCCGGCGGGAGTTCTTCACCGAGCTTGACTCCAGCGTCCGAGGCTCCGTCAAGTTTGGGGATGCCTCCGGCGTGGAGATCAAGGGCGTCGGCTCCGTCACCTTCACCACCAAGTCCGGTGAGCACAGGCTGCTCACCGGAGTCTACTACATCCCCGCGTTGAGAAACTCTATCATCAGCGTGGGACAGCTGGATGAGAACGGCTCAAGCGTGTTGGTCGAGCACGGAGTCATGAGGATTTGGGATCGCCGCCGTCGCCTTCTTGCCAAGGTAACCAGAGGCACTAATCGACTCTACATCCTCAGCGCGCAGGTCGCACAACCAGTTTGCCTCGCCGCTCGTCGAGACGGCGAGGCGTGGCAGTGGCACGAGCGTTTCGGGCACCTTCACTTTGAGGCCCTGAAGCGGCTCAGCGCCAAGGAGATGGTGCGAGGCCTGCCGTGCCTTGACCACGTGGAGCAGCTCTGCGACGTCTGCGTCCTAACGAAGCAGAGGCGGCTCCCCTTTCCCCAGCAGACGAGTTTCCGAGCCAAGGAGCGGCTCGAGCTCATGCACGGGGACTTGTGTGGCCCAGTGACACCGGCCACACCAGGAGGACGACGTTACTTCCTGCTGCTCGTCGACGACCTCTCCCGCTACATGTGGGTGATGGTCCTCGGCAGCAAGGGAGAGGCTGCGGACACCATCCGGCGCGCGCAGGCTGCTGCAGAGGCGGAGTGCGGCCGCAAGCTACGCGTACTGCGCACCGACAACGGCGGCGAATTCACGGCGGCTGAATTCGCGTCGTACTGCGCTGATGAGGGCATTCAGCGCCACTACACCGCGCCGTACAGCCCGCAGCAGAACGGCGTCGTCGAGCGGCGCAACCAGACGGTTGTGGGGATGGCTCGGGCTCTCCTCAAGCAGAGGGGGATGCCGGCCATCTTCTGGGGAGAGGCGGTGGTGACGGCCGTCTACATCCTCAACCGCTCGCCTACCAAGGCCCTCGATGGCAGGACACCGTACGAGGCTTGGCATGGGCGCAAGCCAGGGGTCTCCCACCTGCGGGTCTTCGGCTGCCTCGCGTTCGTCAAGGAGCTTGGCCCCATCAGCAAGCTCGATGACAGGAGCACCCCAGGGGTGTTCATCGGCTACGCGGAGGGCTCGAAGGCCTATCGCATCCTCGACCCGGAGACACAGCGTGTGCGCACAGCGCACGACGTAGTGTTCGACTAAGGGCGAGGGTGGGTATGGGACAAGACGGTGGACGATGGTTCGACTCTGACGTACGACGACTTCACCGTCGAGTATGTCCACTTCGAGAGAGCTGGGGGAGTAGGCAGCTCTTCTTCACCAAGCGTGTCTACCCCAGTCCCCGAGCCTCCATCGACTCCGACACCAACACACCCTCGGGCCACGGCTTCGACTGCGACGAGCTCTTCGCCGACACCACCACAGCCGGCAACCCCACGCGCCCCAGCACCAACAGCCACTCCTCCGAGCACGTCTACTCCGACGCCAGCTCGTGTTGAGCGCAGCCCGGTGGAGTTCGCTACTCCGCTCTCCCACGACGGGGAGCGCATCGACGCGTACCACGACGGCGAGCAGCTACGGTACCGTACGATGGAGGATCTTCTCGGTGACCAGCCCGTGCCAGGAATGGTGCCTCGCGACCTGGAGGCGCAGTTGCACCTTGCGTGCGACGACGGTGAGCCTCGGTCTTTCGCAGAGGCCGAGAAACACGCGGCATGGCGTGCCGCGATGCAGTCGGAGATGGACGCGGTTCAGGAGAACCGCACCTGGGAGCTTGTTGATCTCCCTCGTGGTCACCGCGCGATCACCCTTAAGTGGGTGTTCAAGTTGAAGAGGGATAAAGCCGGAGCCATCGTCAAGCACAAGGCTCGCTTGGTGGCACGCGGTTTCGTGCAGCAGGAGGGGATCGACTACGACGATGCCTTCGCTCCCGTGGCACGGATGGAGTCCGTGCGACTCCTTGCGCTGGCTGCTCAGGAAGGCTGGGGCGTCCATCACATGGACGTCAAGTCGGCGTTTCTGAACGGCGACTTGAAGGAGGAGGTCTACGTGTACCAGCCGCCGGGATTCGTGATCCCCGGCAAGGAGGGAAGGTGCTACGCCTGCACAAGGCACTCTATGGCTTGCGGCAGGCACCGAGGGCGTGGAATGCCAAGTTGGATTCCACGCTCAAGGGGATGGGCTTCGAGCAAAGCCCGCACGAGGCGGCCATCTACCGGCGGGGCAATGGAGGAAATGCCTTGCTGGTGGGTGTCTACGTCGACGACTTGGTGATCACCGGCACCAAGGATGCGGAGGTCGCGGCGTTCAAGGAGGAGATGAAGGCCACCTTCCAGATGAGTGATCTGGGCCTCTCTCCTTCTACCTGGGGATCCAGGTGTACCAGGACGACTCCGGAATCACGCTTCGGCAGACCGCCTACGCCAAGCGCGTCGTTGAGCTGGCTGGGCTCACCGATTGCAACCCAGCTCTCACTCCGATGGAGGAGAGACTGAAGCTGAGCCGCGACAGCACGGCGGAGGAAGTGGATGCTACACAGTACCGGCGTCTTGTGGGGAGCCTTCGCTACCTCACCCACACACGGCCGGACTTGGCCTTCTCCGTCGGCTACGTCAGTCGGTTCATGCAGCGACCGACGACGGAGCACCAGCAGGCTGTGAAGAGGATCATCCGCTACGTTGCGGGGACTCTCGACCACGGTCTCTACTACCCGAGGTGTCCTGGCAAGGCACACTTCGTCGGGTACAGCGACAGCGACCACGCCGGCGACATTGACACCAGCAAGAGCACGAGCGGGATTCTCTTCTTCCTCGGCGAGTGCCTCGTTAGCTGGCAGTCAATCAAGCAGCAGGTGGTGGCCCTGTCCAGCTGCGAGGCCGAGTACATGGTGGCATCCGCCGCTTCGACCCAGGCGCTCTGGCTTGCTCGACTGCTTAGTGATCTCCTCGGCAGAGATACTGGAGCGGTGGAGCTCAGGGTGGATAGCCAGTCCGCTCTGGCCCTGGCAAAGAACCCCGTTTTTCACGAACGGAGCAAGCACATCCGGGTGAGGTACCATTTCATCCGAAGCTACTTGGAGGAAGGGAGCATCAAGGCGAGCTACATCAACACCAAGGACCAGCTTGCGGATTTGCTCACCAAACCCCTTGGGAGGATCAAGTTCCTTGAGCTTTGCTCCCGGATCGGGATGGCTCAACTTTCCCACAAGACGACGCACAAGACTTAGGGGGAGAATGTAGGAATAAGTCTTGGCTGGTTGGTCTTGGTCTTGTGGTGCCTTTTCCTGCTTTTCAGCTTTCTAGGACAGCATCTCTACTTTCAGTTTGAATGCTCTAGGACAGTTAGGACAGCAGTTTGTTGAGATGCTCTAGGACAGTTTGTTGGGATGCTCTGCTCTAGGACAGTTTGTTGGGATGCTCTAGGACAGCACCCTCTTAGACTAGCATGGCTGCATGGCTGCTACAAGCAGCTATAAATATGTATCCAATCCTCTTTGGGAGGATATGGCTTTTGAGTTTGTGAATGAAGAAAACCAGAAAATTGCCCCACTCCGAGTGCCATCCTCTTCTCAATGAGAGTAACCATTGAAGTTCTAACAGGAACTAGGAAAGCAATAGTTGGCCACTGAATGTGAGTATAATCCTCACCTTTTTCTTTACTATCTTAACCATTTCACTTAATATGTCTCGCTCAATGATTTGCTGGTAAACAACATCCCCACAGTTTTTGCTTAGAGTCTCTAGCACCTGAAAAGGAAGACAAACAAACAGAACAAATCAGCACATTAAACAAGACATGACTGTGCACATAGAAACTATGCTCTTTGTTTCCTAAATCTGGAGGAAGCACAAGAAGTTTCCAAAATCTGGAAGAAGAACAAGAAATAACTTCTAAATTTGTGTAGCTAGTGAAGACAGGTGAATTCTTAAATTTAGGAATGAATCGACCTAAAACTCACATTGTTAAAACAAAAAAATCAGAAGATAACACACTGAGTATCAATATACAAGGACTCTTGAAATACTCACATAAAGCGTCAGAATTTGCACTTTTGAATTCTTGTTTCCCAGGCGTTTCTTTAGGAGCTTGAGTGTATCCTTGGCTTGTCTGTACTTCAGCAAACATTTATGAGCATGCTATAAAACATGACAAACCAAAAGTTGTATGGGGACATTGAAAATAAATCCCAGAAAGTATTTAAGACGAAACAATTATGTCAACAATTCAATATACAAAACTCATTATGCAATGTGCATCACTCAACCATGAACCGAATTATCAACAAATTATAGCAAAATGTCTTAAATTAGTGTGGCATCACATACACAGATTTTAATGTTAGCAAATGCCACAGATTATAAAATGTAATCACTGCCTGGAGAGACATATAAACCATATTGGAAGTTGGAAGACTAAAAGTTATTGAAGCTATATATCACACCAACGTACAGCAGAGTAGAGAAACAAAGTTTTTTTTTTCTCTCGAACACGCAGGAGAGTTGCATATCATTATATTAAGATAAAAGAGTTAAAAAGGACTCATGCATGCCCATAACGGGAACAAAGGCTATAAGAACTTTCCAAAGAAACAACAAAAAACTACACCATGACTTAGCTTCATCTCTAACATCCTGCATGACGGAATTGAAATTAGCTGAAACCTCTCCAAAGACACATCCACCTATGTTTCCAAATCAACCAAGCCACCAACACAACTAATGAGTTAAAACCCTTGCGATGTTGCTTAGCCACTTTCTGCAAAGCTTAAAGCCACCACATGGTGAAAACAGTGTCATCGGGACCTTATCTAAGGTGCTGCAAGCCAACCAAGGACAAAACTGAGAACCATACACTTCTTGTGAACACACATAAAGTGAGCAAGTGCTGCACATTCTCCTCCTCTTGATTACACAATGGATATTGCCAAGATGGTCAACACTGCGATGGGCCAATCGGTCAGCAGTCCAACAACGATTTAGCGAGGCTAACCACACAAAAGAATTGCAAAGAGGCCAAAGCTCAAGTTTTCCAAACTTCCTTCCACGGCTCAAATTACATGCCCCTGATGAGTTTTTTTTTTTGTGTGTGTGCTCTCATTGCTGATATCATCATGGCAAAAAGTGATGTCATACCTAAACTGCACCTCAACAACAAATGACACCAACTCATCACCAAAATCAGTGGCCTCCATGAGATTATAGCTCAACTAACCAATCACAAACTATCATCAATTATTGAGTTATTCTGCTCTCCAAACCAACAACCGTACAACCTAAGATTCCAAATTCCTAATAAATTTGGAAGAAAAAGACTGAATATGCTTTTCCAAAAAAATACAAAACATATAGCAATAGACACAGAACAAACTAGCCAAAATCACAGATTCAATGCCTTATAGAAGCAGCACTAAAACCCTGCTAAATTTAACGATTTTATAAACAAGCCTAGGTTAAACGAGATACAACAAGCAAGCAAGATCACAACACATAAAATGTCAGAGATGCCACGATAACCCTACTAAATCACTCACGGGTTGAACAACATAGAGAACTACCTAGGAATTCTCCATCCTACCATATGATAGCAATAACAATTACAAACAAATCAAAGAACCTAAACAAAAAGTCTCGAACAGAGGCATCATCGAGAGAGAGAAGCCAGACCCGGGATCCATGTTGATGATGTCGCAGAGCTCGATGTTCACCGCCCAATCCGGCCCGATCAGCATGTCGCTCGTCGCCCTCTCCGCGCACGCCACGGCCGTCGCCATTTTCCCCCTCTCACCACCAAAAACCCTAAATCCTGCAAACAACAACAAAAACAAACCACCCAAATCAGCCCCCAAATTCCCACCTTTCCGCACCTCCCCAACGCCCCCAACCCGAATCCGCCCCCCAAAAACACATCTTCCACCCCGCAAGAACCCGAGCCCCTCACCGAATCTGAGCGACCTCCTCCCCAAGATTCGGCGCCAAGAAGCACCAAGGCGGCCTCTTTTCACCGATCCGGAGGTCCTGGCCGCGCCTGGGACGGGGAGGAGAGGGAGAGATGCGAGCGAACTGTAGGATTGGAGGAATTTCGGTGGCTCGGCTTGGAGGAGGAGATGAGGAGGAAGGAGAAAGGTTGGAGAGGAGGGTGGTAGACTAGACTAGGCAGGCAGCAGGAAAGAAGGAAGGAGGAAGAGAAGGGAACGCGGCCGTAGACTTTTTCTTTGTTTAGTTTTCTTGGTGTGAAAGTGAGGGCCTGCAAAATTATATTTTGTGGTGCTAGTTTGGAATTGTGAGAAAAGTGGGATATCAAAGTACTCCATTCGTCCTATATTAGATTGTGAGTTTTTACTTGTAATGTTTAACTACTCGTCTTATTCAAAAAAATTTTAAAATTATTTTTATTTTATTTGTGACTTACTTTATTATCTACGGTACTTTAAGCATAATTTTTTGTCTTTTATATTTGCAAAAAAAAATTAAATAAGACAAGTGGTCAAACGTTGCAAGTAAAAACTCAAAATTCCTTATATAGTGGGACGGAGTAATACTGTCATCTAGCAGCCCCATCATTTGGAATAAGCCAAACGACATTTTAACGAATAAAACATGATTTATAAATAAACTTTTATATATATGTGTTCTTAACAATTTAAAAGCAATGGCTGAAAAATAAACTTAGATGAAAAAACCTCAAACCAATTATAAATTCAAGGTTGAAAATTTGAATTTTAGCTACTAAGTATTAGTATAAGCGAAAAAATGAGACTATGATGACTGATGAGGATAGGATCGATTTTTCTTTATATTAGATCTTGAATTTTTTTTACATGGGTAAATTATGTATTTTGGAAAATATATAGTTATGTTGTGAACTTCTTTGATGTCATGAAAAATATCTTTTTTTAGAAACTCTCAACGGTTGGGGGTACATACTAGATAGATTTCTACTATCGGAAAAAATACATTCTTATCAACACAAAGGGTCATTAAGTAGGATCTTTGCATGAATGCTTACTAAGTAAGCAAGTTCTACATTTTGGTTGCGTATATGGTTGATATGAAGTTACATAAAAGTGCAATGTGAAAACCCTGGATGAAATAATTATATAACATATCCTATGTAAGTCATTTTCACTCATTAATTATATTATCCTTGTGAGTCTATTTTCTACACATTCACTTTTTTTTCTTCCATTTCTCATAAAAATATCAACACACTATTTACCATTAGCACTAGGCGACTTTGTTCCTCTTGCTACTTCTCTTATAAGGAGAGATAGGGGATATTTACATGATTAAATGTGCTTGTTAATATGTCATCGTATGAAATAGTTGCGACATTTTTTGTTTTGCTTGCAGTGATAGACTTGGGGCATTACTTCTCTGTTGCATACTTTTCACAAACAATAGGAACATTTCAAACTTTTAGAGAAAGTATCTCATGTTTTTTAGAGCATCAAATTGTTCATTGTGTCAAATTTATATATTACTCGAATACACAAGCCAAAACAATTGGTTTTATGTACATGGCTAGAAAATTATACTCCATCCATTTCCAAATAACTGACAATTGGCACTATTCATTTTAAACCGTGACCATTCGTCTTTCTCATTTAAAAAGTATAACTGAAAAAGCAGAGGAACAATAATCGGCAGGAATGCAAGTACAAAAATAAAAGATTATAGAACACAGTAAATACAAAAAATGATAGTTTGATTAGACCGCGAGAAAAACACAACAATCGGATAAGAGACGTAAGCTCAAAGGAAATTTTTCAACAAGTTTGAGTTCTTACTAATTTTTTTTCAAAATTTCTTTAGGATTATCTATTTTATAGGAATTTCAAAGAAAATGATGGGCTTCCTAAGAATTATTTTCCGATCCTCTATAAAGTGCCCTGTACTAAATTAAGTGATCGAACTCCACAAGAATTATTCAATGAAAACCAATCTTCATCTTCAATTCAGTAGACGACCACCCACTATAAAACGCCATATTCGTTGGGCAAGAAGTTTGTCCATTTGACGATCAACCACACGGACCCACCCTTGATGCAGAAACAAGCAAAGCTTTGCTCATCTTGGCCGTTCCAGGCCAAAATTGCTTTCTGTTTGCCACCCAACTTCCTTTGGGTTAAGCAAGACTAGGTTGGATTAGATATGACTTTTAAACATAATCCTCATATCAGCACAAAGGTAATGTTGGTTCTTGGATCTCCTTAATTAATCACCTGCAAAGCTAGTTTTTTTTTCTTTTTATAGCAAGAAAGAGAGGCCTAATCATGGTAGTGGGTTTCACTATCTGCATGTAGGTGCAAGCAACAGTAGAGCTGGCTAGCATTTTTTTCCTTGTTTGTTATGTCTAATAGTTTAAGCCAAAATGGTTTTGGCTATTATAAACCATCAAAAATAATAATTATAAACTTCGCTAGGCGTCCACATGTACAACTAGAATTATTTTTGTATTGGTCCATGTGTGTCAACGATTTGTAAGAGAAAAGATATAATGACTTTTAATTAGTTTTGTTTTTGTCACAAAGAACCTCTCGATCCATCATGTATTTTGTCTTGTCTCCTTAATGTAAGAAGAAATTCAACATGCCACAAGCCTGAAATCAACGTAGAATTGCTAATGCATATGCCATAGGAGTATAGGACTAATAGATTAAAAAAATCTACTGATATAAATTGGGCAACATTTTTTTAGATAATATAGGTAGCAATTACAAGTTTCAAACTGCAGATCCTTAACCGGTTTTCCTACTCTGGTCGCATGGATGTAGTGTACTGCTCCCTCCGTCGGATTTTGACTTTTTGCTTGCACTGTTTAACCACTCGTCTTATTCAAAAAATTTGTGCAAATATAAAAAACGAAAAGTTGTGTTCAAAATACTCTAGATAATAAAGTAAGTCACAAATAAAATAAATAACAATTTCAATTTTTTTGAATAAGATGAATGGTCAAACAGTGCAATCAAAAAGTCAAAATCACTTATATTATGGGACAGAGGGAGTACTAGATTTGTACTACTTCAGATTTCCTAGGCTGAGTTTAGTTCCTTCCAAAGTTGAAAGTTTGGGTTGAAATTGGTACGATGTGACTGAAAAGTTATGTGTGTATGACAGGTTGACGTGATAGAAAAAGTTGGAAGTTTGAATCCAAAGTTTGACTGTTTGGTAGCTAGCCAGTCAGCCAGACACGGTTTTGTTGAGTCCTCAATCTTCATGCATTCCACCATGATTTGATAGCCGAACGATTAATGGCGAAAACTGATAAAATTCAAACGGAATGTATCAAATATTTGGATTTTTTAATACATGAAAATTTATCAAGTGGTTCTTAAATATAGATTGGCTCGATAAGATCAACCATGACAGTCAAGCAGTTTTTGTTGTATTATGAAATCCTATTCATCTCTCATGCTTTCAAATCTATATGATTATTTCCCTAGCAAAACAAATAGATCCGTCCTAAAAAGGAATTATTCCCATTTAATTTGAAAATGATTCTGCATGAGTTCTGTAAAGAATTTTGTATCGACCAATTCAATAATTTGAAGAACAGAGTCACAAAGAATTTTCCTGTATTCTACTCTGGGCCTTGCATGCATCACAGTGTTAGAAATGGCTTTAAGCTTTTGCATCCTGGGCCTCCAAAATTAGTTGGTTTAAAAGCAAACCCACGTACCTAATTAAAATTGGGCCGCCCTTGTTCACACTGCACACTTCATGCTGCCGACTACAATTAGGTTTTGTTTAAGAGAACATTGACTAATTATATTTGTGATTATCAAGAAAAGATGTACTGCACTATGCACATGGGTCACATTCAAACCTGATCTTCCATTTAAGATTGAGAAGTGAAGTGATTAGTTCCTCTTGAATTGCATGATCACCTCAACTACAACTAGGAACTTTTAGTTTGAGAGGTAGTACAAATTAGAAACCTAAACGGCTAGAATCCACCCCTTTTGCAAGGGGCTAGATTCCACTTAGCTCCACACATCGCATTAACAAACATTAATTCACATGAAAAGCAACTCCATCGGCTCAACTAATCTGTTCTTTCCGTTCCATTACATATGAACTAATATTGATCAAGGCTAAAAAGCAGGCTATATTTTTATCTTACATTAATTTGTTTGTAGTAGGTATCATGCGAAGCAAAACTATAGTATACATATGCTCATGGGACGCTAGGAATTGCACATTGACCTAAAAAATATTTTAAGCCTGAATCTCTATTGAGATCTTGTCATTGATTATTTGGGGCCATTTGGTTGAAACACAGCACAACTTTGTCAAGAAAGGCAATTCATAAAAGCAAAAGTAAACAAGTGAACTGGCGCGTCATCATCCACAAATCTCTGTTTTAACTTTTAATTAGTACGTAACTAACAAAAACCAAAGAAATTATTACATTAGGACATGTACAGACAGAGGAATAGTACAAGAGATGTGAGACTTTCAGAAAGTACAGGAAATGTGTTGCAAATAAAAGATCTCAGTGCCAATGCAGGGTGTTTGTCCTCTGTATTTTTATGCATTCCTTTCCCTCTCTAAATAATCTCTGTGTGTGTGAGCCAGTCATAGTGGTGCACATTGCACTTTTCACTGGTGTCATATCGTTTCATGCATCTTGCACTGATTTTATGTATGCAAAGTTGGTGTTTTTGCATCATTGCATGAGCTCCTTTTGCATGCTGATGCTTGTTGTATAAGCAGATCACTACAGAAGCTTTATATCCTCTTCCTGGATGTAGCCCACTTCTTCATTTGCATCATGTTCTAATCTTCAGCACCTCCATTTTTGCTTTTGTTTTTCTTGAAGAAACCATAGCACCCAATTCTCTTTCTGCACAAAACAAAAGAATGGGTTTGTTAGATCATTTTCTGAATTAGATATGTTCTAGTAGTCCCTAGTGGGAAGATGATGATTAGAATTGCTATTGCTGAATTAATAGCACAATAGGTCATCAAAAGGACATAAAGCATTTGTGCAATGATTAGGATTCAGGTGACAAGAAGCCGGCCTTAATTAAGCTTTTGGAAAAGGAAACAAAACCACTTGGGAGAAGAAAAAAAGAAATAAAAGGAAAGTAGCCAACATGAAGAAAGATCCTACAAATAATTTGTCTGATCATAAATTGGATGTATGAATGATTGGAGTCCATGTGGCATCCAACTGTGGCCAAATCTATTCAAGACCCTACAAATATGTCATACTAGTCTGAAATAGTCTATCTGATGACCTATTTTTAAGGATAACTAGTGCAACCCACAATATTGATTACTAATGTGATGCTAAAAACAAAAAATTACAAACAACAAGTTGAACATATATACTCCTTAAACAAGCGCAACCATTGACAAACAACGGCCATATATAGAATTTTCTGAAACTGAGAAACCAAACATTGTCTGAAACTCATCACAAATTCAGAAGCCAAACTAGGAGTGAACAAAAGACTATGTCAAGTCATGCCCCATTTGCCAAGAAGACTTTATAGGTAGAATAGATTGACTGCTAATTAAGTTAGATTGTGATGAAACAAGATGGACTTGAAGCTATGACTCTCACTAGCCGTGTTGACCAATCTGCCTCCAAACTTGATGGCTTCACACTAACTTACTCAACGGGGCAGTGTAAATTGTTGGGTTGTTTTTAGCAGCCTAAGCTGAACAATTTTTTCACACTTGACGTATTTGCTGACAGAGCTATACTTTGATCCAGTCTATTACCATCTCCAGACTTTGAATTTTGTATGTGGTTATGTGTGAGCTCTTGACCTCAGATTTTTGGAATTTTTCAAAAAGTTATCTTCTAGAACTACTTATTTGTCTCATTCATCTGTTGGAAAAATGGGTTCTTGGGATGGAACTGCTAGCTGGCAGGAAAACGTTTAATGGCAGAAAATCTTCAGCATATGGTGGAAATACATTCATATTATTATTGTTGTTTTTCATTTAATGTTGAATTCACCTTTCTTATTTGTGAGGGAAAACTCTATAAAAATGGAGATTAAAGTGTACTGACTGCTATGTGCGAGCTATTGACAAACAGTAGGATTTTCAAAAAGGTTAACTTCTAGAACAACTGTTTTCTCCTTCATTTTTGGGGAAAACAAGTTTTCTCAGGATACAAAACTACTAATTGGCTGGAAAAAAATAATGGTGGAAAATCTTCAGCACATAATAGAAATAATTCCTATATTATTTATTGTTTAGTATCAAAATAACTTTTCTTATTTGTGAGGGAAAACTCTACAAAAATGGAGATTAAAGTGTGGTCATTGTTTCTTAATTTTCAATATTTTAAATTGCGATTCTGATCTCAAGCGATTCACAAAGAACCCAACACAATCTAACAGAATCAAGAAGAGCATAATTTTTTCCCCAAACTACAACTAAATAAGTTCCATCAACCTAAGTTAGCAAACTCTGTTCTCCAACTTTTTTAAAAACAAACAGATTTTGAAATAAGACACCATTCCTAAAACCCAACCAAACTCCCATTCGAGAATAATAAAAAAGAGATATGCAAAAAAAAAAAGATCCAATGAAACTAAACTTTACATCTAGAAACTGAAATAATGCACAATTAGCAAGTCTAAAATAATTTACCTGCTCCTGCTCCTGGTTGTTTGAGCCTTCGGGTTGCCGCCGCCATGGCCATTTCCGATGCTGCTGCTGCTGCTGCTTCCATGGCCGCCGCTGCTAGTGCTGTTGGTGCTGCTCGTCCTGCTGCTGGTGCCGGCCTCGCTGAACTCGCCGCCCTTGCTCCACCACTCCTCCTCCTGCAGCTGCGCCTCCTGCTTCTTCTTCTTCTTCCCCTTCGTCTTGTTCTTCTTGCCGCCGGCGGCGGCGGCGGCGGGCGGCTTGGGCGACACCTTCTTCTTCCCGCCGCCGCCGCCGACGGAGAGCGGGAGGAAGAGCTTGATGAGCAGGCCGGTGTCGAGGCTCACGCTGCGGTCCATGCTCCGGCTCCGCGTCCGCCCTATCGTCCTCTGCTTCCTCGCCGTCTTGGCGGTGGTGGATTTCCCCTGCTTCTTGCTGGCTTCCTCGCCCATGGCGCCCGCCGCCGCCGCGGTGATCGTGGCTTCGGCGGTGGGAGGTGGTGGGGTGGGGGGAGGAGGAGGGAGAGGATGCGGCGGCGGAGGAGGAGGGGACTCGACGATGTCGCGGAGGGAGAGCTCGTAGCAGGACTCGGGGAGGCCGCGGACGAGGTCGAGCATCTCGCGTCGGTACCCGGCGATCGCCTGCGCCCTCGACGGCGAGCTCCCCGCCGACGCCGGGTATAGCCGCTGGAGCTGCTGCTGCTGCTGCTGCCCCCAGAACTCCGGCGACGGCGTGCCGGACTCCGGCGAGCCGACCCGCGACGCCTGCAGCCACCGCGACTCCTCCTCCCCTTCCCTCGCCGCCATCGGGTTCCCCAGCGGGCTCCGCATCCTAACCCTCTCGAACTCCCCTCCTCCCCCACCCACCGCCGACGCCGACGACCCCTGGAAGCTGAACTCCAGCCGCCGCTGCCCCGACGGCGGCATCGGCATCATCCCGACGCCGAGAGAGAGAGAGAGAGGTTGGAAGAGAGATGGAGAGGGAGAGGAAGGTGTAATAATGGCGATGTGGAGGAGGAGGCGAGGAGGCGGAGGGGGAGAAGAAGAGGAGAGAAGAGGAGAGGAGGGAAAGCGATGGCGGGTGGGTGCAAGCAAGCAAGGTCGTTGGTGAGAGATTTAAAAGCGGGATTTAAATTTGGAGGGAGTACATTACATACAAAGCTTTAAATAATAATAATTAAATTATAAACAAACTACACTGTACTTTGTGTATATACGGCGTGGCGCCGAACTGTACATCACAGCAAAGCTGCTGTACATCTCCGTCAGGTCCATACCGTGGATTCGTGGAGCCATTGGGTTCGGAATCATCTATCATAATATCATTATCGTTACGTGATCTTAACTTTATATTATCCCGCACGACAGTGTTTATAAAAGTAGTGTCATTATGGTAGATAATGTGAACCCGATGGACTAATGGTAGTATCTTCACCTCCCGCACGTAAAACGAAGGGATCTATTATGGTATTACTAATTAAGTATTAGTTAAAATAAACTTTAAAAATAGATTAATATGTTTTGTTAAAACAACTTTCCTATGTAATTCTTTTTTAAAAGACTATTGTTTAGTATGTTTGGAAAACGTGCGCGTGAAAAACGAAGGAGTATAGGTTGGGAGTTGTGAGTGACAAACTCAGCCTAAAATCTTCATAAACCCGAGACAATGGCTACTGTTCACACCTCTCGTATTAATATGTAAGATGTGTGCAGTGGTGAAATGGTGATGTGTTCGCTACCATGTGTGATCACGTCTGAGTCGGATGACGCATAATTCGTGATATATTAAAATTTTGTTATTATGTTAATAGATGGCGGTGTAAGTGATTGGTAATTAATGCGAGTGATTAAAATAAACCAAGGGTACATGACATGAGTGTTGAAATGTTTGCTAGCTTGATTGTTGCAATGGCGTTTAATCGGTGTTGTAGGATCCAGGGGGGTGAATGGTTGGTATACCCAAAAACCGAAAACTTTTAGTGGAAATAAAAGTTACCCTCGAAATCGACGGAAGTCGGTCTGACCGAGATTGATCTGCCGGTCTGACCGAAGCGTAGCCGCCGGTCTGACTGGTGTTGATCTTCCGGTTGGACCGCCCTGGAATCCCTGCTGCGCCTGTTGTCGTCCCCGGTCTGACCGAAGGTCACCCGCCGGTTTGACCGCCGCCTTGCCGCCGGTCTGACCGCCGATGTGTCGCCGGTTAGACCGCCGAAACCCGGTGAAACATAAATTGAAGAATTCTAAAAGTAGATGACGACTTTATTGATTCTCTCTGTATTTACGAAGTGCACAAACAGCACTCCTTACAGAAATTTCGACTAAACTCAAAACCCTAACTCAAAACTCAACTCAATTGCTTTCAAAAGCGATACCGGGAAGCCTCATGCTCCCCCTCTATTTATACCCGAGGCAGGCAGGAACCAAACTCATACTAGGAGTCCTAAACACCTTAGAAAACCCTCTAGTACAAGAAAGAAACTTTACATAACCAATCGTACCAAATTTGGACTCCTTCCAAATTCGACTCCGCATCCCATACACACACAATACCTCCATCGTATGCCATATGGAATCTCCATCAACCACGTGCATCAACTCTAGCCTAAGTATCCCGCATAATCTCTGACCACCACGGACGTCGTCTTATCCCCAAGCCGACTCCCGGTCCATCACCGCAAATACTCTCCCGAGACATCGAGTCACCTACACATGAAATAAATAAAGAAACCATATTCCGAGACCAAGCTATCTCCAACTTGACTCATTAGTAGCAAACAACAGTATTACATACGTATAGTATCCATCTAGAAGCCATAATCATGAAATAATCACGGATATCCAAACAAACAACCCGAAAGCGAAACTGACACAGTGTCGGCCGGTCAGACCGCGGGCTGGCCGGTCCAACCGCTCGATTACCGCCGGTCTGACCGGCATACACAGCCCGGTCTGATCGGTCACATGAAATAATGAATCCTGCGATCACCTGTGAATCCAATCATCTCCAAACCACTTCATGAATAAATTCCAAATAACAAAACCAATAATCTCCAATGCCCAATTATTCATCACAGAATAATAATAAAAAACACCTTTGATTTTACAAGTGTGAGTGCTTTACTTTGTTGTAACAGGAATGCTAAAAAAATAGGATCCTGTTTCTCCTAACCCCTCAAGCTGGGGTCTGGGGAGGCATGTGCTACCGCCGGTAGGTCCGGCCGATGAGCCACTAGGCACCATTGGTGTAGCCTCCTACTTATCCTCATCTTTACCTCAACTCAACTTCGGTTGCCATGGGCCACCTCCTTTATGTTCTCTCACGTCGCTAGTAGTGGTTTGTGTGTGCCCACACGAGACACGACCATAGGTCTACCAGGTGTACCACTGCCTCCATCGTTGTACGATAATACCACATACCCCGCGTTGATGTTACATGGTTGTCCGATGATAAGTAAGATCTATATGGTGGAACTAACTAAACCTTCACAAACTCAAGACAGTGGCCACGGTTCACACATAACAAAAATATGTGAGATATGTGCGGTGGTGAACCGGTAACGTGTTCGTTACCACATGTTAAAACGTCTGAGTCGGACGAGGTGTGTTTTATGTAGAACTCATAATAAGAAATTTTCTTATTATGTATTCTACATGTCAGCTGTACGGTTCTTTTTTCATTTGCCACGTGTTAATGTAATTCTATGAACTAGTTAGTACGTGGCAAATAGGTGGCGGTTTTGGTGATTGATAATTAATGCGAGTGATTAAGAAAACCTAAGGGTACACTTGGATTTATTGAGTGTTGAAATGTTTGCTTGCTTGTTGGTGGTTAATCATCAGTGTGAGTGCTTTACTTTGTTTTAAACGTGATAGTATAAAATTGTGCCATTTTCATGACAGAGGAACTGTTCCTATCCATTATATTTCGTGCAGCCCCTAATTGTTGTGATACTTTAGTTCATTCTGAAATGTGATACCCATGCTATATAAATATGGCATTTTCATGACGCTGAAACTGTACTGATCGATCGATTGTGTTCAGCCCCTAATTGACACAGCATGCAATTAACAGCTCGATGAAAGCGATTCAGTGTTTATAATTTGCAGCATAGTTCAGTAGCCATCCAGATGTCTGGCACGTGCTTAGACCGATGGAGAAAAAACTGACATGATGGTTGCTACATGTCTTGAGCTGTTACATCTCACAACCACTAAATAATCCGTGGTTAATCAAAATACTACTGCTGCCTTTGTTCCATAATATATATCACTGTCAAACATGACACGATGTCTAAAACTACCTTTTAACTTTTAGTTTCTTACACACACTATAAGATGTAGCAACAAAAATCATAACGATAGAAAAAGTAAATTCAAATATCAATTGAACAATATTATTTCTTAAAAAATAAAATTTAATTTGTATTAGACTAATTTTCAGTCGAATATTTAATGAGTTAAATCTTTATAAATCTGTGACAGAGAGAGTAGCACTCGTACCTATCTCAGATTAAGCAAGACATCAACTAAATTATTATAATCTGTAACTTGTAGTATTAGATCTCTCTTAAGTTTATAGAATATAATCTCAAGGATTACGAGACTAATATTTTGGATGATTAGAATAGAATTTTAGTGGCACAGTAATCAGTCAATTTTCTTGTTCCTTTTTGTCTGTCACTGCATGCACAAATTGCACATATAAATGAACAGTATGAGAGAGATAGGAGACTTTGCAGGGGGGTCAGGAAGTCATGGGTTTCTAGATGTTGGTGATAATTTGCAGGTGGTTGAGGAGCCACTGGGGACTCTAGAATGAAATGACTTTTGAAAAACGGGTACAAATATTTTCCCGTGGGGGACGACAAGGCTTCTCTTTCGATGGGATTCTACCTTTTCTTTGGTTTCAATTCACAGCGATTGTAGTGCTTTTTTTTATGTAAAAGAGGAAAGAAAGGTTTTATTATTTATGCGGACGAGATGTCTTTATATGTTTTCTCACTGACTAGCGGACCGATGCAAATCTATGTTGAATTTTTAGGTCAATGTTTTCGTTTTCGGAGGATCGATGTTGGGTGAATTATAAGATTTTTTATAAAGAATTATGTCGGTAAAGCTGTTGATGCATGCTTGGAGTAGAACTTGTTAATCAGCTGTCTGATTGTAATTTGCATTCCTCAGCTCCTTTTCTTAGTTTTGTCTTCTCAACACTCAATTCACCATCTAGAACAATCATGCGCACGCATGGTTGCGGTACATTAATATAAGTTGAAAATTAATACTAGTTCAATTTTGTTCAGAAAAAAAGGATAGAAGAAATGTTGCTTCAATTACTATGACGATATCAATCTGCCACAGAAGACAGAATCTACACGTCGTTTTCAGATATGGTTAAACTATTCCACAGCACAAAACTTTGAAATATTCAGATACAAGTACAATTAAAACAACTGAATATATATATATCTTGAGTGTCTCATTTTCAATGAACAAATCGTCAGATATTCATTATTAGATACAGATACAGGTCTTCAGAAGATATCAAAAGCGAAATATTATATTATGGTCGATCGACCAGTCTGGGGCTATTGTTTAATTTACTTTCGTTAGTGTGCATGCATTAACATAATTTGTGCTCAATTTAATTAGCTTGCCATCACGATATATATATGGACTCGATCGATCGAGCTGTGACGTGGCATTCAGTTTGTGTGTGAATATAATTAATTGTTTCTCCTATCCGTCATGATAGATATACTCCTAATCAATAGGTACTTGATGAAGTATATACCATGATTAATCAATTTTGACTTCGTGTGTGAATACAATTATTTCCAGACGTTTGCCGTGATGGTTCTGTGTTAGTAGTACCTTGTGATGGTAAGGTGCAATTAAACGTAAGGCTGATTATGTCAAAACTGGGGGTGGCTATTGCCTAATGCATGATAAAAATATGGTGCTTTGTTACTGGACCAAACCAAAACTAGAGCAGAGCCAAATTAAAGTTGGACCAGCTGTTTTGATCACCTTGATTTCACCATAAAATTG